CTATCTGTCTGTATGTATGTATGTATGTATGCCTGTCTGTTTTTATGTATGTGTCTTTGTATGTTTGTGTGTCTTGTGTGTGTGTGCCTGTCTGTCTGTATGTATGTGTGCCTGTCTGTCTGTATGTATGTGTGCCTGTCTGTCTGTTTGTATGTATATATGTGTGTCCTGTCTGTATGTATGTGTTCCTGTCTGTTTGTATGTATCTTTGTTTGTATGTTTGTCATGTGTGTGTGTCTGTCTGTGTCTATTTGTATGTATGTGTGTGTGGCTGTCTGTTTTTATGTATGTATGTGTCTTTGTATGTATGTGTGTCTGTCTGTCTGTATGTGTGTATGTGTCTGTGTCTGTCTGTCTGTATGTATGTATGTGTGCCTGTCTGTCTGTTTGTATGATTAGAGAGGTCAATGCGTGGCTGAAGTCTTGGTGCAGGAAAGAGGGTTTTGGGTTTTTAGAGCACTGGGCCGATTTTGCGCTTGGGTGCAACCTGTATAGTCGTGATGGATTGCACCTAAACAGAAGAGGGTCTGCTGAGCTGGGGGATAGGATGGCTAGAAGGTTGGAGGAGATTTTAAACTAGTAGTAGGGGGGGAGGGTCAAAGCAATCTAGAAAATGGAGATAGGATAGAAAGGAGACAGGCTGGGGGAGGGGAAAGCTCAGAACAGAGAAGGTATGTAATATTGATAATTCACAAAAAGTACAAAAGACTTATGGTAATACTAAATGTATGCTTACTAATGCAAGGAGCCTATATAACAAAATGGGGGAACTAGAGGCCAGGGCCGGCCTTAGGTGTTCAGGCGCCCTGTGCGAAACAATCTTGTGCGAAACAATCCATGCCACCCCTTCATCAATCCCCTGCCCCCCTTAATTAAATTCCTGCACCTCTTCAACAAAACCTATTTAATAAAAAAGAAAAAAAAAGTCACTCACAGTAAAGGCTGCTGCTCCCTGGACTGAGCTGTCTCCGCCAATTGAAGAGCACCGGGTGCCGCCTTCACTCACTGAATTGGATCCTTCCGCGGCTCCCTCTGATGACAGAGCACGTCGACGTTACGCAAGTACGCGGCATAACGCCCCCACGCTCCTCCTCCACCCTCCATACAGAAGTGGATTCCTGGCGGCGGCTCTCTGCTCATAATTTGCAAGTCAAGTGCAAAGCAGTATTATGCACTTGACTTGCACTTTAAATACAGAACTCGGCCGGCCTGCGAGCTGTGTTGGCCGCCCGGCGCCCCTGTTGCCATGGCGCCCTGTGCGGCCGCACAGCTCGCACACCCCTAAGGCCGGCCCTGGATATAGATCAACTATAGATCAGCATCAATGTCACTGTCGGGGGTCTTTGCGCATTTGGCAAATTCCCAGACAGTGACAGTGCCACTTTAATAGTATAATACACAAAGTCAGTTTATGTATTGTAGAAACAAGAGCAATGTTGTCAGTACACTATATTTAACCATTTTACAACACTAAGCATGTATAGCCTCTCCCTCATTTCTTAAACCCACGTCTTTGTTTGGCCCCCTCTAGACAATTTGAGGCACACAATATGCCGCCTTCACCCCCTTCACCAAAGCCCTTGGCCACTTCTTCAATAAAACCCCTGCCCCCTTCATCAGATACTGCCTCTATTCATCAGACCCTGTCCCCTTCATCAATCCCCAGGCTGCACCCCTTCATCAACCCTTTGCACCCCTTAATCAGACCCTGCCTCCCTTAATCAAACCCCTGCCCCCCTTAATCATACCCTGTCATCCATGCCCAGTCCCCTGCCCCCCTTAATTAGACCCAGTGTCACCCATAGCCAGTCCCAGTCCCCTGCCCCCCTTAATTAGACCCAGTGTCACCCATAGCCAGTCCCAGTCCCCTGCCCCCCTTAATTAGACCCAGTGTCACCCATAGCCAGTCCCAGTCCCCTGCCCCCCTTAATTAGACCCAGTGTCACCCATAGCCAGTCCCCTGCCCCCCTTAATTAGACCCAGTGTCACCCATATCTAGTCCCCTGCCCCCTTAATTAGACCCAGTGCCACCCTTATCTAGTCCCCTGCCCCCCTTAATTAGACCCAGTGTCACCCTTATCCTGATCCCCTGCCCCCTTGAGTGGGCCAGTGCCCACCTTATCCCAGTCCCCTGCCCCTTAATTATAGACCAAGGTGCTACCCTTATCTGATGCACTGATTATGATTAATTACACTGTAACATCAGTCCCACTTATGTAATTAGACCCCAGTGCGCTCTGCTCTGATGCTTGCCGTGGACCCAGTGTCCTTGCTTATCTAGTCCCCTGCCCCTTGGGTAATTAAGTGCCATCTCTTATCTGATCACCCTAATTATGAATGGTGCCATTTCTTATGTGGTCCCCTGCCCCTTGAGTGGGCCAGTGTCACTTGCTTGTAGTCCCCTTTATAAGTAGACAGTGCCATACCCCATCTAGTCCCCTGCCCCCCTTAATTAGAACCTGCCCCATTTAATGAAAGATGTTTGGCTTAAAAATAAATAAGGTACTTACTTTGAAGGCTGCTGCTCCCTCCCTGTCTGCAGAGCACCGGCCGCCGCCCTCACACATGGAGCGGATCCCTCTGCGGCTCTCTGTGAAGGTGCAGCACTTGGACGCTGCGCCTGCGCCCCAAGCTCCTCCTCCACGCTCCGGAAACTGACCGCGGCTCAGCTCTCACACAATCTCGGGCCGGCAAGTGACAGAGCGACTGCGAGCTGTGTCGGCCGCCCGGCGCCCCTGTTGCCATGGCGCCCTGTGCGGCCGCACAGCTCGCACACCCCAAAGGCCGGCCCTGCTAGAGGCAGTAGCATACACTAAACAATATGATATAATAGGCATTACAGAAACATGGTGGGATGAGACACGACAGTGCAGTTAACTTAAATGGGTACATGCTATTTAGGAAGGATAGGAAAAACAAGAAGGGTGGTGGGGTATGTTTGTATGTCAGCCATGAGTTAAAGTCAAATCTTAGGCATGTGGAGTGTGACGAGGAAAATGTGGAAGCTTTATGGGTAGATAGCTGCTTGGGGCAAACAAAGTGAAATCAATTATTGGTTGGGATATGTTATAAAACCACCTAATGTAAATATTAATGAGGAAGAACAGCTGTTAGCCCAAATTGGGAAAACTGCAAATCAGGGTAACACGTTGATTATTGGAGATTTTAATTATCCAGACATAAATTGGGATAGAGGGACTAGTACTTCAGCAAGGGGAATCAGGTTTTTGAATGTGTTAAATGACACCTTTATGTCACAACTGGTACAAGCACCAACTAGAAAGAATGCTTGTCTGGATCTCGTTATAACAAACAATGTTGATCTTTTAACCAACATTCAAGTAAGGGAGCATTTGGGAAATAGTGATCACAATATGGTAAATTTTGAAATAAACTCAAAAAAGCAAAAGCAAGTGGGGTATACTAAAATGTATAATTAAAAAAAAAAGCCAATTTCAATAAGATTAGGGCAGCTCTACAACATTTTTTTTCAAGTCCAAAAACAAAAAATGAAAGTGTAGGTACTCTGGAAACAGAGATGGGTCTGAGAGTTAATGAAGACCAGAAAAGGCAGAAATTTTAAATAACTATTTTTCTTCAGTATATATTAATGAGGATCCTATGGCAAGAGATATGCAAATGATTGCTGCAAAAAACTTGCAGATAGCTTGTGATTGGATAACTCGAGACAAGGTGCTACAGCTATTAAAGAAAATTAATGTAAATAAAGCTCCGGGGCCTGATGGTATCCCCCCACGAGTACTTAAGGAGCGGGGAAATAAGTGAACCTCTGTATTTAATTTTTCAAGATTATTTTGTTTCAGGTGTTGTACCGGAGGATTGGAGGAAGGCAGATGTTGTTCCTATATTTAAAAAGGGTTCAAAATCCTTGCCTGGAAATTACAGACCTGTGAGCTTAACTTCTGTGACTGGGAAATTATTTGAACGGCTATTAAAGGATAATATTCAGGAATTCATTAGGAAGAACTGTGTTATTAGCAATAATCAGCACGGTTTTATGATACATAGGTCATGTCAAACTAACCTAATTGCATTCTACGAAGAAGTAAGTAGAAGTATAGATCAGGGTGTTGCAGTGGATGTGATCTACTTGGATTTTGCCGAGGCATTTGATACGGTTCCTCACAATAGGTTAGTCTTCAAACTAAAAGAAATTGGTCTAGATGAATATTCTTGTTCTTGAATAGAGCATTGGCTTATGGACAGAGTACAACGAGTTGTCATTAATGGTACATTTTCAAGCTGGACAAAAGTGATAACGGGTGTCCCTCAGGGTTCTGTTTTGGGACCACTTCTATTTAACATATTTATAAATGATCTTGAAATGGGCATTGAAAGCCATGTATCAGTGTTTGCAGATAACACAAAACTTTGTAAAGTAATAAAATGTGAGCAGGATATTGCCTTGCTGCAGAGGGATTTGGATAGATTGGGGGACTGGGCACTAAAATGGCAGATGAAATTTAACGTAGAGAAATGCAAAGTTATGCACTTCGGGGTTAAGAATGCACAAGCAATTTACACCCTAAATGGTAGTGAACTAGGGATAACCACACACGAGAAGGATTTAGGAATTGTTATAGACAACAAATTAGGCAGCAATTCAATGTCAATCTGCCGTTGCTAAGGCCAGTAAGGTTTTGTCATATATAAATAGGGACATAAATTCTCGAGATGAAAATATAATTTTACCTCTTTATAAATCGCTGAATACACCTTGAATATGCTGTGCAATTTTGGGCACCTGTTCTAAAGAAAGATATCATAGCACTGGAAGAAGTGATGAGACGAGCTACAAAATTGATAAAAGGAATGGAGCATTTTAGTTACGAAGAAAGGTTAAAAAATTTAAATCTGTTTAGTTTGGAAAAACGGCGCCTGAGAGGGGATACGATAACATTATACAAATATATTCGGGGCCAGTACAAACCTTTATCTGGAAATCTATTCATAAACAAACTATACATAGGACACGCGGTCACACATTTAGGCTGGAAGAAAGGCGATTTCATCTAAGGCAAAGAAAAGGTTTTTTTTACAGTAAGAGCAATAAGGATATGGAATGCTTTGCCCGAAGAGGTGGTTTTGTCAGAGTCTATACAGATGTTTAAACTGCAATTGGATAAATACTTGCAAAAACATAACATACAGGGATATAATTTCTAATTAGTGGGGTAATAGCTGCTTGATCCAAGGAGACATCTGACCAGCCCCGTGCGAAATTGACCAGGGTCCCCCAAGGTCGGGCCCTAACGCGAACATTACATGGGCAATTGGTCGCAAGGGTTGTGGCCGCGACCCCGCAACTGCGGTATATGTACGCCCCAGTGCATTTTGCAGACGCACACACACCCCAGTTATGGTTTGAATGCGTGCGCGGTCGCATTCGGAGCTGAGAGGTTGAGGGATCCCCAGCGCCAAGGGAGTCCGGCGCTGGAGAAAGGTAAGTGCTGAAGACACACACACACACACTTACAGACGCATACACACTAGCTAACAGAGACACACATACACACACACACTTACAGACGCATACACACTAGCTAACAGACACACACATTTACTGACAGAGACACACTCAGCAACAGACATACATACACACTCACTTACAAAACATACACTCTCATTGACAAACACACACTCACTAACAGACATCAAACAGACTCACTAACACACACACACTCAGTAAGACACACACAGTAACACACTCACTGACACTCACTAGCAGACACACACACCAACACTCACCTGAACACACCCACCAACACCCTCACACACACCCAACACCCACCCAAACACACACCCAACACCTCACTCAACACCCTCACCCCAACACACACACACCAACACCACCAACACCAACACTCACCTAACACTCACTCTAACACACACACTAACACTCACTCTAACACACACACTAACACACACACTAACACTCACTCTAACACTCACACTAACACTCACTAACACTCACTCTAACACACACACTAACACTCACTCTAACACTCACTAACACTAACACTCACACTAACACTAACACTCACTCTAACACTCACTAACACTAACACTCACTAACACTCTAACACTAACACGTTTTTAAAAAAAATGTAATCCCCCCAGCCTCCTTATCTTTTGGAGTGCTGGGGGGATTCCCTGGGGTCCAGTGGTTCTGCTGGGCTCCTGGGCTGGTGGCCGGTCGGGCAGGTGGGCGCACGAGGGAGCACTCAGTACTTCCTCTTCAGCTCCCTCGTGCGCCGCGTAGGGATGTCGGCGCCGGAAGATGACGTCATCTTATGGCTCCGGTATCAGTGCGGTGTGCGAGGGAGCTGACGAGGAAGCACTGAGTGCTCCCTCGGGCGCCCGCCTGCCGGGTGACAGCAGGGCCAGCCTCGGGGGGCCCTGGGGTGGTCGGCTCCTGGGCCCCCCAGGGGAAGAGGCTGGCCCTGTGGCTACATACCGGGTCGCAGGGGCGGCCGGACCCTGGTATGTACGCCACTGCATCTGACTGCTATTTTGGGGTCAAGAAGGAATTTTTTCCTAGTTTGTTGCAAAATTAGAAGCGCTTTGTACTAGGTTTTTTGCCTTCTTTTGGATCAACAGCAAAAACATATGTGAGGATGGCTGAACTTGATGGACTCAAGTCTCTTTTCAGCTATGTAATTATGTAACTATGTATGTGTCTTTGTATGTGTCGTGTGTGTATGTATGTGTCTGTATGTATCTGTCTGTCTGTGTGTCTCTGTATGTATGTGTGTGTGTCTCTGTATGTATGTGTGTTTGTGTGTGTGTGTGTCTGTCGGGAGGGAGGAGGGGGGGGTCCCATGGATCAGTTTCGCACCGGGGCCGCATGGGTTATGTGTACGCCACTGCTCTCAAGTGTCCCTATTTAGAAGGGACATTCTCTATTTTGGGCAAAAATCCCTCTGTCCCTCTTTTCTATCCTAATGTCTTTTCTTAGTGTATGTGAGAGTATAACAGAGCTCCACAGGATTAAAGGTAAACTATAGTGCCAGGAAAACAAACTGGTTTTCCTGGCACTGTAGCTTCCCCTACTGTCAAGGCCCCCTCCCACAGCACTGAAGGGGTTAATAACTCCTCAGCTCCGCCCATGATCCTCCTCCGCCGACTTCCGCCGGCGGGGGAGATCTAATGTGCATGCATGTCAATGGCCACGCTCACATTAGGATCTCCCCATAGGAAAGCATTGTTCAATGCTTTCCTATGGGGAATTACATGACCAAAAGTCATCTAGGAAGCCGGAAGTCCCTCTAGAGGCTGTCTGGTAGAGAGCCACTAGGAGGAGGAGTTAACCCTAGCAGGTAATGATAGCAGTTTATGAAAACTGCAATAGTTACCACTCTAGGGTTAAGGGTGATGGGAGTTGGCACTCAGACCACTTCAATGAGCTGAAGTGGTCTGGGTGCCTACAGTGTCCTTTAATAATGTGCCTTTAAGCTACAATAAATGTGTTTCGAAATCAGTCTGTGTAAATAACATACATTGTTGTTGTTCTAAATTACATTTTAGTTGTATAAATAGCTTTTAGTAAATCACCTAAAATAGGGCAGCTCTACCCCTGGCCACACCCAACTCTCACCCCTAAAAATTTTAAAATGCTGGGGGGTATGACTATCCTTTCTTTACTCCAACCAATCACAGAATGTTGACTTTTATTTTGGCCATATTTTTATGGCACAATAATATTTAGAATTAGAATTATAATATACCACCCCATCTAGCACCTATAATAGATTGAGCATCCTCCAACTCTATACTAATAAGGCAAGAGGACTTGGGCACCATCTATCCTTAATATTGCAGTATTGGGCCTGATGACCTCTACCCCTTTCATATACTTTTATTACTCTCCACCCTACTGCACATGGGATGGAGCAAGGGGTGGGGACTGTTGACTGTGCCTTTACCCAGTTTTCCTTTTTTTACCCCCCCTGCACACAGGGTGGAGGAAGGGGTAGGGGCTATTTATTGGACTTTTACCCAGTTAAATCACTTTTCACCCATCCTGCAAACAAGGTGGAGGAAGAGGTCATGCTATTTGCACGGTCACACCATTCTAATCTTAGCTTGCCATCTGTCTCTTGTTACATGGTGGGCTCTCACAGATTGTATTTTAACATGTTTTTGTTCTGTTCAGCACCAAAAGAAGTGGGCACCCACAGTACTCCAAGCATGGTTTTATGTTTGCGATTTGGCACAGTTATAGCTGCAAACAATGTTTTGCTGTTTGTAGCTACATTTCAACACTTACGCCTGGTCTGTTCCTGTTGGTTATGCCAAGATAATCAATAAACTGAACTACCGTCAGAAGCTTCTTCTACAGAACTCTGATGGAACTCTTTTTAGATATAGAAATGGTGATTTTTTTTTTTACCATTTAGTAAATCAACACAATTTTACTTAAACACATCACAATAAGGTTTAGGTAATGGTCTTTTTATTGTGAAAGCCGTGACATTTCATTTATGACTATAGTGGTCATTCCTTACAACAGAAAATATTTTTATTATTTTCTCTATGAACCCACTCTGCTAACTGAGCTTAAAGACTAAAAGGCATAAACACACTATTAGCTTAATCTCATCAATGACAGTATTTTAAAGTACTTTCACGTAGCCTCAATAATTGTATAACTGAGTATAAGCCAAGTCTGCAAGGTTTAGTTTTATAGAAGATCATATATGTTGGTAATTCCCCACTGTTCAGGAAATGCATAATTTGTTGAATGAAGAGGCAAAACAGGTTCGTTCACTGAGAAATCCCCGCTCTCTATACATCGCAGATGATTTATAAAACTGTTGGCATTGAAGTGTTACTTATCAGATTTGTGGGGAACCCACGAAATCAAAACAAAACTTACGAAAATGTATACCTTCTGTATTGAAAATTGCAAAATATTACCTGAATGAAATATTAATATAATTATAGATGATTACTTTGTATGTGGGTCAACTCAAGGTCATGATGATGAAAGGTGGCCAAATATATAAATCTTCATGTAGTACTATAATCCAAACAACCTTTCTGTATGGACTCTTACGAAGGATTAATCTTACTCCTAGCTAGCTCCCTCTGTGTGATAGCCGGTAGCACAGTGCCACTTAGTACACTGAGGATATAAAGTATATTATTATGGTACGAAAATATAACGGACATGTTCCGTAAAGATCAGGTGGACACAAATTATATTTATATGACTTCCGTGCAATTCAGGTTTATCACATCATGTGACTTGACATGTCCTAACACTGGTATATCATGCTCAACAAGTGACTTCTTGCCTCAGTCAGTCTTAGTGGAAGAGGAACTAACATGTTGCTCTCAATTATGCAACTGGAATCAAGACAGGCCATGTCCCACATACTTAAGCCTAGTACATTGACCTTAAAGGACCACTATAGTGCCAGGAAAACATACTCGTTTTCCTGGCACTATAGTGCCCTGAGGGTGCCCCCACCCTCAGGGACCCCCTCCCGCCCGGCTCTGGGGAGAGGAAAGGGGTTAAAACTTACCTTTTTCCAGCGCTGGGCGGAGAGCTCTCCTCCTTCTCTCCGCCTCCGTTACGCCCCGCCGGCTGAATGCGCACGCGCGGCAAGAGCTGCGCGCGCATTCAGCCGGTCTCATAGGAAAGCATTTACAATGCTTTCCTATGGACGCTGGCGTGCTCTCACCGTGATTTTCACAGTGAGAAGCACGCAAGCGCCTCTAGTGGCTGTCAATGAGACAGCCACTAGAGGATTAGGGGGAAGGCTTAACCCATTCATAATTATAGCAGTTTCTCTGAAACTGCTATGTTTATTAAAAAATGGTTTAACCCTAGAAGGACCTGGCACCCAGACCACTTCATTAAGCTGAAGTGGTCTGGGTGCCTAGAGTGGTCCTTTAATGGTCAGCATGGCCCTATTCCAGTGAACGTGTAGGTAGCACCACTCAGACATACTTATTTTGATATTTCTGACTTTTCCTAATTCGTTTTCCAAACACCTCCTCCTCCAAGAGTGAGGATGAAGCGTAAGTAAGCCTGTACATCATCTCTGTGTTGTGTTGCACAGCAGCATTACCACTGTATCCATCACACAGACCATGTAGCTCTCGTATGGTTACTCTCACTGCAATTCTTCCAGATCACTATTATTTCCAGGTATCACTCAACCTTCTGAAATAAGTACAATGAACT